AGGTGTTTGTCTAGGAGCTTCTTAAATTCGGACACTGAGTTCGCCTCTACAATGTGCTTCGGCAGGTCGTTCCAGATATTCACCACTCTGCGTTCGAAACAGAGTTGGTGAGCGACCCGCTTTAACTTCGGTACAACAAGCTTATACCGGTGTCCTCGCGTGCAGCTTGGTGTGCGCAGATGAAGCAGTTGTCTCAACATGGGGTAATCACTCAGATGTAATATCCGGTGCGTCATGATGAGGTCAACCCTCAGTCGACGATAAGTTAGTGTGTACAGCCCTAGTTTCTTACATCGGTCTTCGTATGGCACACCTCGTAAGTTGGGAATCAGCCTGGCGGCTACATGCTGCACCCGTTCAAGCTTTTCTACCTGGCCCAGGGTGATGGGACAATACGCGGGAAAGCCGTACTCTAGCATTGGTCGTATTATCGAGACGAAGAGGCGAGTAGCAATCTCTTCGGACCAAGTGCTGAAGCTGCGCCTGAGGGCCCAAAGCATCCGAAGGCTGTTTTGGTACAGCTTATTCGTGTTGTCAATGGACTTTAGGTCGCAGCGTGAGAGCACACCGAGGTCGCGCACGAAAGGCGCGGGATGCAACGGTTGACCAGCCACTGTGTACGTTCGGCTGTGCTCACACTTACCCAACCTCATAAATTGCGACTTGGCAGGGTTGATCGGAAGGTTAACCTCTGCAGACCATGTCGAGAGGCGGTCGAGGTCCTGCTGAAGTAAATCACAATCATTGAGTGTGCGGATTACTCTCCACACCTTCAAGTCATCTGCGAACAACGCACAAGGTGATTGGAGTAGCTGAGGCACATCGTTTACATGGATCAGAAACAATATCGGCCCCAGTACAGTGCCTTGGGCACGCTACTGCTCGATGGATACCAGTCGGTCATATGGTTGTCCACCTGGACCCTCCACTTTTGATCAACATGGAAAATTCTGATCCATTTGTGCAGTTACAGTTATTGCGTAAACAAACAAGAAATTAAGACGATAATTAGGTAAGATGTGATACAGCGATGTCTTTAAAGTGGATAAGGTCGCTTTGAT